AATTCAAATTTCGAAAAGAAGCCCCCTCTTTACTTTGCAAAAGTAATCTCGAAAAGAAGCCCATCTTGAAAAGAAGTCCATCTCGAAAAGAAGCCCATCCAAAGTTCGCAAAGAAAAGAAGCCGCCCAGGGCTTCAATTCGAGGTTTTACGGTATGGCTATTTAAAATGTAAGGGTTTTCGTTCACTGTAAGTAAGACGGTATAGATTCATGTTACAATACGCTGCAACGTTAACAAGCGAGTAAATTTTTAAGTGAAAAAAAGTTTCGTCCAACTTTGTTTGCGATTAAACGAAGCACTGCACATGCGTGGAGAGATACTAAAAATGGATGACCCGATAAGGCAATAGTGATGCGGCAAATGCGTTATCTATTGATGTTGGACTTGTAACTGTCATCAGCACAATACACTGATACGTTTTCACATTCCCTTAAGGACCACTCCATTCGGTTTCCATTCACATATGACGTAAATTTATCGGTATCATCGCTCCAAAACAACTTGTTATGTAGCCATTTAGGTCATAAATAGCTCAACAAATTATATTGAGCAACGTTAATTAACATTGATATTAATCATTTTCCCCGCTCCTGTGGTTCATTTGTCTTCCAGGTAAGGAGGCGACAAGTAGTGTATAACGAAGTATTTTAATAGTTACGGTACGATGTGCAAAAGTAATATAATAGTGTTTTCTATAACAACATATATAATACAACTGATGTTCTCGACAAAGATCCCCTTAATGAACATCTTGCAAATGTTAGCCTGGAACATTGAGTGTTTTTATACGATTCATATTATGGACTGAAAAGCATAAATTCCACACAAAAGCATCTTTACAGTCTGGAAGTGCCATTTCCGGAGGAGAATCTACAACATTGGTCATTTTGGCATATTTCACTGCTATACCGTACGTTGTGTTAACATGCAGTAAAACCTCGAATTGAAGTCCTGTGCTTCTTTATTTCTTCTTTCTGTTTTTATTTGCGAACTTTCGGTGGTCTTTATTTCGAGACTACATCAATTTTTTCGAGTAACATCAATTTCTTTCATGGAGTGTATTTAACTGGCATTAAATCACCTAAAACTACTGTATAAACCAAGCTTGCACTTAATTTACTTTGTTTTCTGAAATTCATGTACAGTGTATTTATACTGTACTATCTCGAAAGGAAGCCTATGCTATCTTGAAAAGCAGCCCATGGGCTTCTTCTCGAGCCTAATTATGCAAACTGAAGAGGTGTGCTTCAATTCGAGATGAGCTTCTTCTCCAAATTGAGCCCAACTGTGCTTCAATTCGAGGTTTTACGGTATACGGTAGGCTTTTTTGTCTCATTCTTAAATTGCTTGTGCATTATCGGTGGGTGGTGTGGGTGTTTATCTATAAAAATTAAGTTTTTTTTTTTCCTGGAAGTAATAAGAGGAGTTGGTCTATAATTTTAACTTTCTGAAATGACCAGAAGAATATATCATACATGTAGGCTAAATCATTATATTTTTCAATTAAAAAACAGTTTTCAATTTTACACCAACGTATGTGTTTCTTTGGGATTGAAAATATAGATATAACAGGCATCAATATTATCTTTTTAATTTCTAGATTTTTTATTTACTGTACAAAAATATATATATATATATATATATATATCTGTCTCTTATACACATTATATATATATATATATATATAGGCCTATATTCCGAATTTTGTAAAATTTTTAAAAGAAGTTACCGTAAATTATATTAAAATTATGAAAGATATATTTCTATTAGAAATAACTTCGATAATTGTTTAAGAAAATGGGGTTTGAAAAACTGAATTTCAATTAATTTTACTGTTATGTGTAACCTAATTATTAATTAGCAATTAATATGTGTAAACTGATCATTAATTAATAATTTATTTATTTATTTATTTATATATTAAGTATTTATAACATTGTATTTTGTTAAGTGAAAATTGTATTCATATAAAACTAAGAGATGTTATTTATTGTTATGATTTATGATTTTGTTGCATTGAAGAAATAAATAAATTAATTAATTAATTAATAAATAAATAAATAAATAAATAAATAAATAAATAAATAAAAGCCCATGGGTTTCTTTTCGAGCCTAATTATGCAAACTGAAGAGGTGTGGTTCAATTCGAGAAGGGCTTCTTCTCCAGATTGGGCTTCAATCCGAGGTTTAACGGTGTACGGCGGTAGGCTTTTTTGTCTCTTTCTAGAATTGTTATGTGCATTTGCGGTGGGTGGTGTGGGTGTTTATCTATAAAAATTACTCTAAACGTGGGCTGACTCGGCTAAAGTGGGTTAAGTTCGACCTAAGTTTTCTTTTTTCTGAAAGTAATAAGAGGAGTTGGTCTATAATTATAACTTTTTGAAATGACCAGAAGAACATATCACACATGTAGGCTAAATCATTATATTTTTTAATTTAAAAAGTTTTCTATTTTAGTCCAACGTATGTGTTTCTTTGGGATTTAAAATATAACTATAACAGGCATCAATATTATCTTTTTTATATTTTTTATTTACTGTGCAATATCTGTCTCTTATACACATCTAGATGTGTATAAGAGACAGTGATTAACGTTGTTGAACAATAAAAAAAAATTGTTTTAAAAAGTAAAAGAGAAGGGGGCCAGCATGTTAACTTATATTAAAATTATGAAAGATATATTTCTATTAGAGATATCAACTTAGATAATTGTTTAAGAAATTGGGGTTGCTTTGAGAAACTAAGTCTCAATTAGTTTTACTGTTATGTGTAACCTTATTATTATTGGCAATTAATATGTTTAAACTGATTATTAATTAATTAATTAATTAATTAATTATTTATTTATTTATTAAGTATTGATCACATTGTATTTTGTTAAGTGAGAATTGTATTCATATAAAACTAAGATGTTATTTATTGTTATGATTTATGATTTTGTTGCACTGAAGAAATAAATAAATAAATAAATACATAAATAAAAAAAAAATAAAAATAAGCAGAACGTAATGTTTTTTCTCACAAAATAGGTGAGACATTGCTTCACTCTTATTCTTTGCGAATTAGATGGCATTGCATTTATTAATTTCAAACTACACTTTTTTTCCAGACTGACTAATTGGAGTTTAATATAGTAATGTTTAAATGAGCAATTACATATTTGGATTGAATGCATTGCTGTATAGGGGTACGCCCACGCACCCCATTCCTTTCTCCAAGAATATTCGCCCTCCCCAATGAAAATGTTCCGAAGCAAAAAGTAGTTAAAAATCACCTTATTTTGTGACCTAGCTGCCTTCACCAAATCATCGAGCCCCCAACTCCCACTTCACTTCCAATTCACATCCCATCAGCCGCTCCCACCCATGTCACGACTCTTTAGATTAAAGCAACTGGTTAAAGGTTTTATAGATTTGCTGTGGTCATTACAATTAATATCTTCATCGACAACACCACCACCGTTAACGCCTCGTGGTCATCGTAAAATTCAATATCATCATAAATTATAGTAATAATTATCATTGTTATAAGTAATAAAATAATAGACATATATGTTTACAATATGTCTCTCCACTCTACATACAACGTAGCACAGACCTACATAATCACGAAAGTACAAAAATAGAACATTACACATGATGCATGTATGAAGTGCGCTTTAATCAGCTGAAGAGGGTTCAACAATCGACAAAGCGGAGACAAGACACACTCATTGGCGTCATGCATGTTATAATGGTGTCATTGATTGTTGCATTAAACAGCTACATCCACTTCTTGGAATACACAGAAAATTAACCTTTTCGCTAAGTTCCCCTTAGATTTGTTGGCAAGGTCCCACAAAACAATAGCGTAATTATTGTACTAACACGTGCGTTTTCAGGAAAACGCGTGTGTTTGTAGGACGCGCGCGTATTCCTAACCCTGTTCTGATTCGTCAGTTAAGTTTGATTGACACTCTGGAAAGGTCCATTGAAAGAAACAATAAGACCTCTGATAGTTTCAACAGCGCATGCCTACGAGAGGATAACAATATCAACAAATTTATAATTTTACATTTTAGGGATGCATTCGGCGGAATGTATCTTGCATAGAAGCTCAATATGGAATCATTATTGTTATTGTATCATATAGACCCCTACTGTACTATCACATTATGTTTTAACAGTAGATTTCAATTATTAGTTGCTACGGTATAAACTGTAGAAACATCAGGGGATTTGCCGCTTCTCTTTTTAAATTTTAATAGATAAATAATTTCATCTGGGTAAAAAAAAAAAAACGCCCATGGACTTAGTACAACCACAGACCTGTTTGATACTGTTTGGAGACACTGATCTCTACTACAACAGTAGAGATCAATGATTGGAGACTACTGTCCAGACTTCAATCGAGCATGACTATGTTCCACTTTTAACTTCAATGGATAATTTCCATCTGGTTTCAAAATGCACCAATATTTTTGAATAGTAATAGGAGAACTGCGAAACTTTCGACAACAGTGAGTAATATAATTTGGTGTACAAGAAATTTGATGTCCAAATTCCATGAATTATTTTCTGCTGCATTAGGCCCAATTTAAAATAGAAAAATAATTGAAATAGATACAGCACATTCATACATCTGGGCTATTACGAGATCTAGATACACAGAGAATAGGGAGCTTCTGATTGTGCGAAGGCGGCAAGATCTAGACAAAATGAACGTAGTATCATGTGCGCATGCGAGGACGATGCGTTCTCGTCTGAATTCTAGGACTCCGCTTGTGCCAAATTTACGTTGTACAGACTTCGATTCTACGTTCACGTCGTCACGCAACTCTAAATCTTCCTACCTATTGATTCTGAAGACGTTTGAATATATGCAGAATATGTTGGTTTAAGATTGAATATTGTGGTCCAAACAAGGGGAGGGGTACGGGAAACGTGTTTTATAGCAAGAGGGCGGTCAACTGGTTCAATCATTACAAACTTATTTTTGGTAGACAAATCATAATATCTTGATAAATTCAAATGTTAACATGTTCATAAACCTACTAAACTAGTTTCAAAGATTCAAAACCAAAATTAATTTTCAATTACTGTATTGGAATAGTAACGATTCCAGCATGCACTTTACCCTCAACAGACACTGGAATACATCAAAATCATCTCCTTTTAGTTTTATAGTTACAAAATCGTCCCCTATGGAACGACCGACACCATTCGGGATATTCCAAGTTACCATTAAAATGCCTATCAAAAATTATGTAATGGCAATTAACTGCCTGGCATTCAATTTTAGTGCCTCTGATGATCATTATCCAAGTCAACTCAAGTGCCTATGACAAGTTACTGATTCCATTTGCACCGTTTTTCGACGGTTACAATAAATTTTAAGACAATATCAAGATTGATAATACATAGTACGCCGTTACGAGTGCAGCTATGCCAGTAGCAAAAAGCATAAAATTGCAATGTGGAGGTCGACCGATCGATTTGTTAAAATCATCTGAAAGTAGTTCAAACGCCACCAACGTCAATAATTTCAATGTGTGGTCAAGAAGATTGCTACAAACCATTTAATATCAAAGCACCAATCACGTGACACCAAGGCACTTACATATCGATTACCAATGCATTGATTTGCTTCTTATTACAGTATACTTATTACGTTTCAATGTATATATAAGTATAATACAATGTTAGCAATTTAACAACTAATCGTTAATTGCTTTTAACTCGTATCTATATGCCCTATCTGAGTAGTGTACTTATATACTTATATTTACTAATATGATAAATATACAATAATTTCATCAATGTATTATATTCACACATTTTAAATTATTCACAAAAATTATTTACCGCGTATCATACTTAGTACTAGAAATACGCTGGAATCCAGATAATGGAATAACATTATTTTGTATATACAATAATGGTAGATGCCATAAAACAACACATTCTTATATGATCCTATCATAAGCTAACGAGAATAACGATCTTTATTTAAACTTTAATTTCAAACTGTTGCACAAAAGTATATTCTCAACTGGCTTCAATCAAAATCTCGCCCAGATATCTGACATTTATTTTCCTCTAAAATGTTTACCCGTCCACCAGTTTCCCCCCACCCCATAATTTCCTGATGCTCAGTGGGGATACGGGCACCAGTATCGGAAGGATCTTGGACGAACTTCACGAATCCATCGTCTGTGCATATAAAACCTTAATCATTCATGTAATCTATTTTCTTGTTAAAATATTGGCAATGTACACATTATTTAATTAATGCCGATATTTTGTCCTTGTAATGCAGAGCCAAATAAAACGGAGTAAAATTAAATTAAACATTTTTTTTGTAAGCCTACCGCAGCTGAGACTTAATCAGAATGAGTTATTTATAAGTAAAACCATCACACAATGATCGTATCATGTAGGCCTAGCTATACGATGAATGTTTAATGTTATTGCAACGAAGCATAGAAGATTTTAAATCCCATTCGTGGGATGTTTAAAGCTGAACAAACCAAAACGTAAAAAGCAGCATTATTTCTATAAAAAAAAATACACTATATTTATTTGAGGTCATGTGACTAATTCACAGCTTGATTTAAAATAGACCTTTCGCTAAGCTTCGCCATTTGGTTACTGTTGCGAAGGTCCCACAAAACGGAAGTGTAGAAACATACGTTTCCAAAGAATCGCTACACAGTCGCTACAATGTTTTCACTGCAATCCTTGCACTGCGTAGCTGTCCCCGACGCAATCGGGAAGGCTCAATCTGATTCAACTGACTAAGCTGCGTCGCCAAAGGAGTCGGTAGCGTGCAGCGATTTTTATGGAAATCAGTCTCTTTTATAGAATCGCTACATAGTCGCTCCAGCGTTTTAACTGCAACTGCGTAGCTGTCCAGACGCGGCCGCAATCAGGAACGCTCCCTGATTCAACTGACCAATCAGCGTCACCGCCAAAGGAGTCGGCGATAGCGTGTACGGGGAATTTTTATGGCAATATGTGAGACAACACGTGTGCCTGTGAGAGGCGCGCGTATTCATGACCTGTTCTGATTGGTAAGATGTTAAGATTGATTGACACCCCGGAAAGTTTCATTGCTTTGGCTAAAACTTTTAACTCATTCCATGCTTTAATTATAATTCTAAACATCGTACCAATTGAATTATATTCAATTTGTTAAAGCATTGCAATTTTTTTTTTTAATTCTTGACTTATCATCCCTTTTGGCAAAACTTCTAAATTACATTATGTTAAAATATCAATTTAAATTAATTTAAATACAATTTGTTAAAGTATTGCGCTTTTTTTCACATAAAGAAATGTCATTCTTACAAAATATAAAATAATTATAAAAAGAAAAAATTCATGATTGTATTACAATTATATATTTACTTACATATGTTAAAATTTGTTTCATATTGTATAGAATTAATTATTAAATTTACATTTTACTTCTATTATAAAAAAACAATAAAAAAGTTACTACCTGTTTGTAGTAACACCAGTGCAAATAAAATTATGGTCTATATTGTTGAGCACACAACAATAACTGGAGGGTCTTTGGTTCAAGTCACATGTAACAACACACATTCACACACAAATAAAAAAAAAATCATCATCTTCATCATTGTCATAATTATCGTTATCGCCACTATCACACCAGCTACATAACTTCTGTATTTTTAAAAATAATCACTACTCTCATCATTGCAATACATATTATACTCTTTCTTGCTACCATCTTGTAGTTTTCATTCCACCAACATCTTCTACATTTACCAATCTCACTCTAAAAGCATTAATTCCATATATTTGTATAAAAGCTCAAATGTTAAATCTTGATCATGTGTCCAAGAATTAGAAGAGGGGCTTTTGCCCAATGAGACGTTAGAATTGTTACAAAACTCGGCAGCTGTCCAATATAAAACCTGGCAACAGCTCAGCCAATCAGGGATCAGTCTGGACCATTCCATCCCAATAGCGGATGACATATAAGTAGATATATCATTGCAGTGAATGTGGTGACCAACATCATAGGAAAGCCAACTCTGTCGAAATAAAATAAAATAACATTTTAATAATAACAATAATAATATTAACAATAATAATAATAATAATAATAATAATAATAATAATAATATAACAATAATAATAATAATAATAATAATAATAATAATAAATAATAATAATAATAATAATAATAATAATAATAATAATATAATAATTATAAAATAAAAATAATAATCACTAGAGTGCTGTCACTTCAGAGTGCATACCTCTGCCCTGTGTCAGAGTGCATACCTCTGCCCTGTGTCTGAATACCAAATAATACACGTCGTGCATGGGCAATTCCATTATTTTCTTTCATGCTCGTGGGGGTAATTATTCACACCTTTAAAAAAACAATATACAGGTCTCCCTCCAATTACAGACTACTTTTCTAAAGTCCCAAATGTCTTTTATCCGTATTATTCTAATTAGAGACCAAAGCTGCTAAAGACTAGGGAATCCCCCAGTCCCAAATGTTGTCTTTAATTGGAGGGAGACCTGTATACTATTCCATTACATATTATTATTATTATTATTGTTATTGTTATTGTTATTGTTATTGTTATTGTTATTATTATTATTATTATTATTATTATTATTATTACTTCATTACTATAGTGCACAATTTTTTTTTTAGCAAAAAAGGGAAGTTAATTAATGTTATGTTGAATCTAGAAAAAATGCTTGAGGCACTTTTTTTCTTAGTCATTGGATACAGAATCAATCAAACTCCTCTGCTTACTATCAGCAAATACTAATTTCATTCTGAATCATTCACCTCCTACCCGTTACCCATTTATTCTCCTGGGTGAAGAGAGGCAAATGCAGATAAAGTGTCTTGCCTAAGGATCTAGTTTTTTGTGTAAGACAGACAAACAGCATTGAATACATAGTCTCTTTGGTGGAGGTAATTATAAAAATGAAAACTTATATATATTGCACCGATGATATCCATCAACAATTAACGCTCATGGCACTGTGCATAAACAACAATGTATGTGAAATGAAGATTCATATGAAATAACAAAATTGTTTTCTAGATAAAATACAAAAAAAAAAATGTGTTTTTAAGTTTTTCTTGAAAATTGGCAAGGTAGCTGCAAAGTTATCATACGTTGGGAACAAGTAATTCTGTGTTTGCATTTTAGAGTATACGCTTTTTAATACCAATTTGTAAAACGATGAATGCCGTAATCGCACAGTTAAGACTCAAATTCTCTTCAGTCAAGCTGCTTACTGTGTGAAATGCACATTACAGCATATTTACGTTGTTGGTCCAGCGTACAACATGACTTAATCAAATGTACTATGATGATCGCAGATTGGCAGCCAACGAATTTATCTTCGTTCTCTGTTAGCGCTTGACAATGCATTTCCGTCTGCTGACTATCGATGATGGATTGAACGTAGTGTGATTAGAAATTATGTTTACAAGCACCTCATCACTTACCATTCTGCATGGAATTGCATAGACCGATGACTCTCGGTGCAGGGTATGCACGGTTTTGAAGAATGCAGACCGAAGAATGATTGTCCGCCTAAATACTGCAAAAATGTGTGTGGTGGTGCTGCTATGCGGTTGTACACAGAACCGCAGACACCCGGACCAAACTTTCTTGTTAGTTACCTAACAAATTTACTAAAATTTACGGTAAGTCTTATTTAAACTTTAAACTAAAATGGGAATAAAATGAAACTTACTTGAAAAACTCAACAAATGTGAACCTGTAGCCGTGTTGTTCTGCGATGCCAGCACAAACCACGTTAGCCGAGGCACCTATCAGCGTACCGTTACCACCTAGACATGCTCCAAATGCGAGAGACCACACCAATGGCTCTAGTGGGAGGCTGAGTTCAGGATCTTCAGACAAAGATAGAACAATTGGTACCTAGAGGAAAAATATGAATAAAAATCATCTAATCACTTATGTAACAAATTTCTATAAATGCATTCTTCAATTCATCAATGTAATAACAAATTTAATTATTTGTATGCAATTCAATAACTTAATACCTTGTACGTATTCATTAATTTTAATATAAATCATTATTTCTATATTTTCTACTTAACCCATCTAATTGAATAAAAAATTGAAAGAGAAAGAGGGAAAGAAGGTGCTGTGCCCTTCTCCAACCTGCTACTCTCTTTCTCCCATGTGCAATGGGGGGGGGGCACATCCCCCCCCCCCCACCATTTTGCCAAATTTTAAATTTCAATGCATATCAATGTTATGTGCTACTCACTTATCTCTGTCTCTTATACACATCTAGATGTGTATAAGAGACAGAAACTCCTCTGCTTACTATCAGCAAATACTAATTTCATTCTGAATCATTCACCTCCTACCCGTTACCCATTTATTCTCCTGGGTGAAGAGAGGCAAATGCAGATAAAGTGTCTTGCCTAAGGATCTAGTTTTTGTGTGAGACAGACAAACAGCATTGAATACATAGTCTCTTTGGTGGAGGTAATAATAAAAATGAAAACTTATATATATTGCACCGATGATATCAATCTTTGTGAGCAGAATCATGACAAGACCAAGGTGTTGCAGCAACTGACTCAACTATTGACAAAAATTACTGGCTGACTGGCCAAAAATAAAATTTTATTTTTATTCGAAATCATCAATACCTGTATTTGCAGGCGACGGGTTCGCTTAAAAAATTATAAAAAAAAATCTCGCTTAAAGTTTCCTGATGTACAAGGTCAATCAAAAAGTATTAAAAACAACTAGGATGTGTCAGCTATTGAAAGGAATTCCCTAGCTTCCACCACCCCCACCCCAAGGGTCATTAGAGACCACAGGCTAGGCGCCGCTCAATGGGAGGAGATGTCCACCTGAAATCCGAGGGTCATTAGAGACCACAGGCTAGGCACCGCTCAATGGGAGGAGATGTCCACCTGAAATCTAACAAACTTCGAAACTTTAAATGCTGGCAGCTACTATATGACAATATATACGTATGGTGACTCCAAAAAATGAGAGATTTGAGGTTATAATTGATTCCAAGTTTTGTTCTACATTGTCAAGTACGAACAGTCCAAGTCCAAAATAGTGACAAACTTAACAGAAATCAAAACAAAAGACAAATTCTCACCAATCACAATATGAAAGCCTGCATTATTTTTCAATGTAAGACTAAAAAAAAAACCTATCTAACATAAACACAACATACACAATAAAAACATGGAATTCAAGGAAACACAAAAGGTTATCAAAATACTCCACTTAAACTATATCAACTAGAAAACACATGGTAAAATAAACATAATAATGACAACACCAAGCATTAATGGGAACATAAAATGTGCAATATATCATTAGCACAAGTGAGGGGGTGGGAAGTAGGTCGAAGTTTGACTTTCAAAAAACAAGAGATATCAAATTGAGTTCAAATACTAAACCTTGTAAAAATAAAAAATCACAGGAATGAATCTTAAACTCTGTTTACACTATCAAACTTCATATGACAAATTTGTGTGATGTGCCCATATATGGGCATGATGATGTCAGGTTATATCCAAATACGGGCATCAACTTTGAACTTTATTGTTGAAACTTCATACAATTCGCAGCTTCACAGCTGAACTACAGTACATATCCTAAGGAAATTAAAAACAAAAACATGTCATATGACAAAAGAGTCACAAGCTCTGTCATATGACAATTTTGTTGTCACATAAAATTTGATAGTTTCAGCAGAGCTTAAGAGATTGTCATAGGATATGAACCCAGGACTGTGGGACTTGAAGGCAGACACCTGGTATCTTAACCACCAAGATAGAGCAGTATTATTTCCAGGTAGACAAGTGTGAAAGCAATATATTTCCCATAATAGTTATATCCTTTAAAGTGCAAAACTTTAAAGAGTAGTATAGGATTTGAACCCAGGACTGTGGGACTTGAAGGCAGGCAACTTGCATCTTAACCACCAACATACAAATGTATAATTTCCAAGTAGACAAGTGTGAAAGCAATATTTTTCTCAATTTACTTATATCCTTTACAGTGCAAAAGTTTAACCATAGATTAAAGTTCTTGTATGAGTAGGATTAGGTGGCTTACCATAGCAGTCGTATAGGGAATATTATCGATGAATGATGAGGCAAGAGCGGAAACCCAAAGTAATAGCAAAATAGCAACAAGAAGTTGAATTGTCTCATCATCTGAAGATAGAGCAGTATTATTTCCAGGTAGACAAGTGTGAAAGCAATATATTTCCCATATTAGTTATATCCTTTAAAGTGCAAAACTTTAAAGAATAGCATAGGATTTGAACCCAGGACTGTGGGACTTGAAGGCAGGCAACTTGCATTTTAACCACCAACATACAACTGTATAATTTCCAAGTAGACAAGTGTGAAAGCAATATTTTTCTCAATTTACTTATATCCTTTACAGTGCAAAAGTTCAACCATAAATTAAAGTTCTTGTATGAGTAGGATTAGGTGGCTTACCATAGCAGTCGTATAGGGAATATTATCGATGAATGATGAGGCAAGAGCGGAAACCCAAAGTAATAGCAAAATAGCGACAAGAAGTTGAATTGTCTCATCATCTGAAGATTCCTGCAAATTTATAAAGACATTCACATATCAATGAAATTTACATTTATTATACAAATATTGTATACTATTTATATTATATTATACGTTTATAATTATAATTATAACTATTAAATTTATTATTAATTATTATTATTATTATTATTATTATTATTATTATTATTATTATATTATATGATATTCAGTAATACAGTGAATAATGATAATTCAGGGAAAACTTATTTTGGTCCTGATAGTGTCTCCTTGATAGGGGTTCTACTGTATTTATTCTACAAATATTGTCGTTTACCATGTCTATAATATTATCTGTTTATAATTATTATAGTAACTATTAATTTTATATTATATATTTAAATGATTTTCAGTAATATAAAAAAATTAAGTATTATAAAAACATTCATATATCAATTAAATTTATATTCATTATACAAATACTGTATACCATTTATATCATATTATCTGTTTTATTAATTCTACATATACATTATTATTATTATAATATATGATAATCAGTAATATAGAAAAATAATGGATATTTAAGAAGAAATATTGAATTTTATTCTGTACATATGCTTATATAAATCTAAATAATCAGTAAAACTAAACAAAGCTGCCTTTTGACAAACAATTTTGTCTGTCAGATTTTGAGACAATTACTGTCAGATTTTGAACAAACAAAAATGATAAAAAAATAAAAGAAATACCTTAATTACAAGTGCCACTTCATCTCCAATAAAATCAATTAAACCGAGTTCAGTCAGCCCCTAAAATATAAAAATAAAAATGATAAAACAAAACTGATGCAAGAGAATTAGTTTTGTAGAAAAATTATCTGTTTTGTTGAACCAAATAGTTGCTCACCTTCAGCCACTGTTTTGGTCACTTTCTTCAGGCTAAGTTGTCGAAGCAGTTGCTGAAACTGTTGCTAAGGTAAGCAACTATTTCATTCAATAAAATAGATAATTTTCCTACTATATTTATGAAACCAGATGAAATTCTTTGAGAATTAGTTTAGTGTTAAACTATAAATGTGCAATTACAAAAAGTTTTTCATTTTATTAGAACCAAAGCGATAATAATAATTGAAAACTAAAAATAATAGTAACAATAACAATAATAATGATAATAATAATAATAATAATAATAATAACAATAACAATAATAATAACAATAATAATAATAACAATAATAATAACAATAATAATAATAACAATAATAATAATAATAATAATAATAACAATACTAATAATAACAATACTAATAATAACAATAATAATAATAATAATAATAATAATACTTTTCAAAAATACGAGCCGAGGTTTACGTACCTCCATCAGAATAAAAAGACCAGCGAAAAACAAAAGCGTTGCCCATTCTATCCTATGAACAATGCTCTCAAACTCATGCATGTCCGCTAACACAAGTAGGAGCAACGCAGCAAGGACAGCGATCCAACCTTCAAGAGAGAAGAAGCAAAATTACAGCACAAATTTTATCACTTGTTTGTGTTTGTTAGTATCATAGTGTCTGTGTATTTTGTGTATATCCTGTTCATTGTATACAGAATCAATGATACACAATGTGTAAGCCCGTCTGTTCCCTGGGGAGTGTTCCTAGGGATGTAGTTAATCCAACACTAGCAATAGGGAGTCATCTGCGCATGCGAAAACGTTAAGGTCACCTCGTCGAGTAGATTCTGGAACGTGAGTTGGCTAAATCTACGTATGTAGAGAATGTACGATGCCAGGTAGGATGGTCACGCCTGAGTGATTCCGTTCTAGCGTCGCATCGTTGCACAAATCAAAAGCTCCCTATTTTTCATGCCCTGTTCAGCCTATCAAATTTTATTTGACAAAAACATGTGACATGCCTAAATATGGTCATGATGACATCACATATGACCATATATAGGCACATCATGACTATATATGGGCATACAACAGTTTTTGTCAATGAAAACTGGACAGAGTTTATCATTCACATTCTATGAGACACTAATTTTTAAATCTGGGAAGAGACAGAGAAACATAGTATCTGTCTCATTTAGATCACAAGCAATAAGACATCAACCTCGAATTTACGACCTTTAAGATGGAAGCCAAAAGATTTAAGATGTAATAGATGTGCCTCAAAAGGGTTAAAGTGTTGATTGGTTTTGACAGATTCTCAACTACTGTCAGGACTAATTTAATTTATTGCCTTTTGTTTGTTTCCACATTCTCTTCTAAGAACCTGTGTTTATGTATATTTAAGCTGAACATTAAAGCATTCAATTTAAGGATTTCATTATTTGATGTACGAGTATCACTATAACTGTCATTCATCATAGAGGTCTTCATCACTAATGTCATCATTATAATCATTATCATCATCATAACCCTCGTCATCATTAACATTATCATCATCATCTTTATCATTATCATCCTCTTCAACATTATAACTATCATCATCCCTATCACCATCATGATCATCCTTATTATCATCATAATCATCATCACCATCATCACCATCATAATCATCACCATCATCATCATCATCATCATCATCTTCATCATCACCAGCATCATCATAATCAAAATCATTCCCATCTGTAATCATCAGTCATAAACACTCATCTTCTTCATCATCATCTTCATTATCACCTTCCTCATTATCACCACCATCACCATCATCATCATCATCATCATTCTTTCTTTGTTATCATCAATCTATCAATGTAGAAGCGGTTTGGCACATCGGATGTGGCTTGAACTCCCAATATTAAGGTCAGGGTTTGAAACTGTACAATTTTCTTGTGTCCTTGGGCAAGGCACCTTATCTACATTTGTCTCTCTCTATGCAAAGTATAAATGGGTACCTGGTGGAATGTTGTGGCGTTGGATATACTAATTTCTTGCACCGAGTACAAGTGCACAACTAAGTATACTCCACAGGAAGCAGAGAAAGTTGCACTCTCTGTGCTGGTTTGCCATTGTATGTTACCCAATCATTCATTTTGAATTGGCGCCATATAAATATTTGGCATCATTTATATTATTATTATTCTTTTCAGACACTGGTTCTACTATCTTACCTAAGTCCAAGTAGATAGAAATCCCTTCGATGGAATGAATGAAGAAAAATATTATTGCAACAATTAACACAGCTGAAGATTTCACTAGCAGGACAGGGTCAGTGATTCGATACTGAAATATACAATAAAACATATCAATAGGTTTAAAGCACTTTCACATGATCTTACAATTTCTTTTCTTTTTTTTAGCAATTTGCTATCAATCATTGAAAGACAAAATTTAAAGAGAAACTTGTCATAAGATCTTGAATACCCTTAAAAATTAAAAAATCTAAATATTTAAGTTGCAACAATACTTCATCTGGAGGAATACAACTCTCAAGAAAAAAACAAATTAATTAAACTAGTAAAGAATCCAACAAATAATCAATTTCCAAAAAGGTACAATTAAGATAGTTTGGTTTTTGTTAATTTAGAGACTTTTTACTACAGAAAGCCTTCAATTTATTAAGCTAACTTATGGTTCTATAAAAGATAAGATGATTTTTTATGATGCATGTGTTGTTCTAATTAAAAGCTAAAAATATTGTGAATATTGAATCAAATTTTGGCTTTTACTGTTTATATTCAATATCTGGTATTATTATACTATTATTACAGATATTATTCTCTTGAAGACGATTGAAGCATCTAAATCAAAAACGTCAAGATATTCTCAACCAACAACAACAGTTCTTTTCAGAACTATCTATGTGGTGTACCGCAAGCATTAATACATAAAGACAGTAAAAATATAAATATCACTTTGGCTATTACCTTCTTTTCAAGTTCAGATAACTTCTCTTGCCAATTTTCATCTGGTCCCTCTTGAGCAGTTCTGAAATGTTCAAAATACCTTCTCTTGGTGACAATTTCAACGAATCGTGATTTTGCATCATTAAAACGATCTGTTGCACGCGCATCGTGGTGTTCGGTTCAACATGGAATTGCATCTACCGATGGCTGTCATGCTCAGTAAGTGTTCGTCTTAACAATTTTTGACAAAATAAAGTATTGTCTGACTTCCAACAAACAAAGATCATAATTTATGTCAGACATATATTTGATTAGACTTTCTCAGACATGTAGAGAACTTTCTGGCACCCCCTCTCCATCCCCTCCTAACTACACAAAAATGGACAAAAATATTGCACTTTTGATTAACTTTTATTTTATTTAAGCAATATTGTTGGAAGAATTTTACGGTTTGTTTGATCAAATATGTGTTGCCACCTATCAGATAATGTTTGGTAATACTATGTTTGTTAAATCTAGCAAACAAATCCTAATAGGGTTTACCCAGTTTTTTCATGTGGACATGAAAAATTTGAATCTAAGAGACACTTCTGTTGATTTTTACTACTCCAATATTTTATTGTCTTTTTAAATATAAATACAAAATTTTATTTATTCTTTATCCTTGATGGCTTGTGCAGTAAATAAATTATAGATTTCCTACAGGGCCCAGTATATTTATATAATTTTTGACTGTAAAATATCATTCAGATCTAATATAGTTGACATAAGCTTTCATATGATTTTTTATTGCGATCATGCAAGATTTACGGTTATTTTTGTGCAGACGTCCTACCCTCTTTTCAGGCAACACTTTGAAAATATTTGCTAAGTACGTTTAAACATACCATGCTTAAATATAAAGGTCAAAATGTTGAATTTTTTTTTTTATTTTCCTCAGTGAAATATTACATAATTCAGAAAAATGTAAGATTAAAGAAACATATACCATAAAGTCAATGAGTGTTAAAGGAAAGACATTGACATCAGAAATGAAAAGAAAATATGACATACAAAAACCACAGTACATCAGATATTCCAAAAATTTAAAGTGATGATATAGAATATTGGAATGAGGCAAGTTGTATTTTTAAAAAAAAAACCAACATGGAAAGAAGGAAACTAAGCTACTAGAAAAAGGGGGATGGTACATCACATCAGGATATTGATACATAAATAAAAAAAAATACAATAAAAGGAATGAAATAAAAAAAAGGGAGTTAAATTTGATGGGTGACAAAGAAAGCAAAGGATAAACAATACAAACACTCATGCTTGTATCCTTATAGTCCCAATGAAATAAGACAGGGGTTGTAAGATGGGGGCTGGAAGAACAAGTGAAAAAAAGGAAGCATCAGTGAAAATATTTTAAAAATGGAAAAACATCCTTAAGACATCCTTCTTTGATTGGATGCTGATCAATGCCCATGAAATTAAGCTTTTCTATGATGTTTTAGAACATATTATGGGCCAAAAATTATTAAAAAAGAGAATTTTATTCCTATTTACTAATCATGGCCGACAGTAGAATGTACGATAAGTTATTAAAAAGCTCTTGAACCCCCCCCCCACTCAAATTGCTAGATGGGAAGCGCAGAAAATTCAGTAGTTTACAGTCAAAAAAAAAAAGTCCTGCATTTATAAAACTTAAATAGTCCATTATGATCACTCTGTATTGTTGAAATCTGGAGAAAAATCTATTAAAAAAAATCAATAAAGAATTAAATTGCCTCAATCTAATAATATCATCAGGGATTTCAACCTGATTTCAATGGTGATGCCTCAAAATTTCAGTATGGAAAAATCTCTGCGGTATCTATGGTTTGTTTGCGGACAAAAGGTATATACAGAGTAATAACACCAGCTGTTAAATTTGAAATTAACCTGACATAATAAAAGATTAATGGCTCTCCTCTTCTTGGGTTCATCTGTAAATACGACAAATTCAGGTTGCCAAGGAATTGTCTAGACGCTGGACAATTATGTAGGCCTATTTATGAGTCTAGTAATATATTTCCGTAGCATTTTTCTTTGTTTCCGTTTCGTTGTATTGTTCGTAAGAGGAGGAAGTTCTGTAAAACTTGAGAACTCTGTATCATTTATTAAACACAGCTCATAACAATTCCTTTTCACTGATTTACAGGTGTTTCACTACAAAATATTGATTTACAACCTATTCAAGTGTTTTCGCAAATTTTTTTTTATAGAAATGGTATTATTAATGCCAATTGGAAAGGAAATATTTTTCTTTTCGATTTCATTCACAATTGTATTAACAGCCCATATAACCATATTTTTTTTGTAGGATAAGCTATTATAGATACTTGCATTTTTTGAGCTCCTGTAAGTCATAAACCCGCGAGCCCTCCCGGGGCTTCAAAGTGCTGGTAAATGGGGCAGTATTATTCTTGATATTATTATTATTCAAACACGATGACATTTCAATACAAATGCTGTTTATCAAATGGTCGTGTATATGCTATATTACAGATAATTCATTACAGTTTTGATTTGAAAAATCGGTAATGCTTGTTCCTCTGCCTCTGGTAATAGTTTGTATAATATTTACTGGTTTACTTTTCAGAATTTTTGTTTCCTATCTGTTTATTTTCTCAAGCGCCTTGAGCATTTCTTTAAAATGGATATGAGCAATATAGAAATCTTCATTATTATTATTATTATTATTATTATCATTATTATTATTATTATTATGATTTTCCAATTTTTAATAGAAGAGACCTAATAATTTAGTGTAGTTAAATATACAAAACAATTTACATGATGAATTTTACTTTTCAATATTTTTTAGCACAACACATAAAAAGTATATGTGTAAATCAATCAATCAATCAACAGGTATTTACTGGGCATCAACAACCATGCAGCAAAAATAATGTTTGTGGATCCATTCTTAAGCAGGCTCTAGAAACTAATTCACAACAATTGAGTAACATACTCACTTCCATGACATTATTTATGATGTACAAAAGTTGTGTGTTTTTGTCCCAAAACGAAAAAATTATTAGAATTCTGCCATAAGTTTAGTGAGTAAACCACTTAAATTATGTGAAACAATTCACTTCTCTTGGCCACATAATCTCGTAGATAATGTTGATATAATGCCTACAACGTGTATAGATCGTTGCACGCCAGGGGGAAACATCTCAAGTAGACGATTCAGTTACAGCTCAGAATGAGTTAAGCATACTCTATGTTTTGTAAAAAGCTTTTGAATCAAAACGTACTGTTCAAACTTACGGACAGACTTTAATATATAAACCATGAAATCTCTTAATGTTCGCTAGTAATAACTAAACGTAAGTTATGTAGCATTACTGATCTCTTTGTTAACACTGACTTGCTCTCTTTTGGTGAATTCATGAGAAAGTCAGTTTTTAGTTGTATCAACAGAACCACAGATAAGCTTGCAAAGTACATTAACGACAATGTTTTAAAACAGTCTAAGTTACGACAGAGCTAAAATAATAAACAATGACATTGTCCCAGTTTGTAACTGTTATATAAAAGTTATTTTAATAGTGGCCACACTGTAATATTTTATAATCATTCCTTTTTATATAGTTTGTAAAAAAATATGAAAATAATAATTTTGATTGATAAATAGTATACAAATGTATCTTTACATAATGCTGACACATGAGGTCAATAAACATTTACTTTACTCAGAAATTTCAAAGCTCTAGACACAACCCAGAATTTTTTAATACCCAGACTAGGAATTCAAGAGTTGTGGTTAGTGTAAATCGCAAAGAGTATGACTTTGGTTACCAAACACCTTTAAAACCATCAACTACATAGTTAATATTAACTATGTAGTTGATGGATTTAAAGGTGTTTGGTAACCCAAATATATATAATATAATATAATAATAATAATAATAATAATAATAATATAATAATAATAATAATATATATAATATAATATTTGATTTAGTCTGGCAGGGGGTCTGAAAAAAAGGATCGCCTAGTAGCCTTGGTCCAGCAGGGGAGACTTAATTCCATTCTTAACCTTTGCTAAGATAAACTGCAGTGGCAGAATCCAGAATTTTAAAAATAATGGGGGGCATGGAAAGGGACTTTTACAGGAGAAGGGTCTATACCAAATTAATCCCACCACTGTTGGGGCTGAGTAAGAAATTTACAATTATGGCACCTCTAGATAGCCGGAAATGGCAAATAATAGACTTCAAATTTTAATATAATTTTATCCCCCTATTTTTTATTTATATTTAGAAAAATTAAGGGGTCGGAAGACCAGGCTGGTTGGCACCCCCCACTTTCCCTTACATCCGCCACAGAACTGGAATTTTTGGGGGAAAAATGTATTGAAAAAAATTAATCTGGTGAAAAGAACAACAAATTTAAGAAAAGTGATTTTACCTTGCTATTTGGGAGAATACCAGTATTGAAAAAATGTATCTAGTCAAGAGAAAAACAAATTAAGAAAAGTGATCTTACCTTCGCTCATATAATTTGTTTTGCAACATGTTCTCCAAGTTGTAAACTTTCTGCATTAGCAAAGCTTTTACAGTGCTCTCTTCTCGTGACATTACATTAATACTTGCAGCAGTCTGCCGCCAAATTGTAATTTCGTGTTTAAGTTCTGTGAGAAACAAAATGTAAATTTAATTAATGAATGAACTAATTCTAAGCTCTCTCTAATCCTAAGCTTAATCCTAAGCTCTCTAAACCTAAGCTTAATCCCAAGTTCTCTAATCCTAAGCTCTCTTTAATTCTAAGCTTAATCTCAAGCTCTCTCTCTAAGATTAATCCTAAGCTCAATCTAATCCTAAGTTTAACCCTAAGCTTAATCCTAAGCTCTCTCTAATTCTAAGCTTAGTCCTAAGCTCTCCTAAGCTTAACCCTAAGCTCTCTCTAATCATAAGCTTAATCCTAAGCTCTCTTTAATCCTAAGCTTAATCCTAAGCTCTATCTAATTTTAAGATTAATCCTAAGCTCTCTCTAATACTAAGCTTAATCCCAAGCTCTCTCTAACCCTAAGATTAATCCTAAGCTCTCTCTAATCCTAAGCTTAATCCTAAAGCTTGTTCAATTCTGACTCTTAGTTTCCAATTTTATTTATTCTCTGAGAAATGTTAATAAATATAATAACAAAGATTATTAGCTTTTTGGAAAAAATATGTCAATTGTAGTGGAAGAGTAAGCTTGGTAGTTAAGATGTTTTCCTCCCAATCCCAGACTCCTGGGTTCAAATCCTGTGATAGCACAAAATGTTTGGTCATGACTGAAAAACATCTCTACTCCCTTAAACCTCATAATAAGATTACAAATCATCAAATCATTTTAATTTATTTAAGTGATCCCCTGGATATCAGCTTACCTTCTAGGGTACGCTTTCACAGTGACCCGTTATAAAATATGTATTTTAAAAATTGAAGTAAGTTCAATAACAGTAGAAAAAAAATATCAATACAAACTATAATATTAAGTATGGTAGATGTGATGTGGAGATACAAACTAGAATTAGAATAGCAAAAGATACTTTTAACAAGAGAAGAGAGTTTTACTGACTAACAGAATGGATAGGAAATTGAAAAAGATTATTAAAGAACTTGTATGGAGTGTAGCTCTATGTAGGTTCAGAAATCTGGACAATGGAAAATAGAAATGAAATAGATAGACTGGAACTTTGCAATGTGGACTAGGAGAAGGGTGGAGAAAATTTGTTGGAAAGACAAACCAACAAATGAACAAGTACTAGAGAGAGTAAAAGAGAAAAGAACTTCATTAGCTACGATACAAGACAAAGAAGAAAAGGATTGGATTATATACTTAGAGGAAATTGTCTTTTGAGAGATATTATTGAAGGAAGAGTAAAAGGAAAGCAGCCCCGAGGAAGAAAAAGAGTAATGCTGACCTCAATGAAACAAACGAAAGCTATGCCATCATGGAACATATATCATATGATAGAGAAAATTAGAGAATTTAACTACTATGAACCTGCCAGTAGGCAGAAAACAGATGATGATGAATACACAAAACGAATAAACTTAACAAATAATGCAATACAAATTGCTCAAATGTAAATTGTTTCTAATGGTGACTCACCAACAACTTCAGGGGGCTCTTTAAATGTCATATCTTTTTTTCGATAAAAAAACCAGATTAGTAAGTAGCCGGTCATGACACAGAAGAAAACGCCAACCATCATATGTAGAGTGAAGTTACTGAAATTTATTCCCTGAAATAAGAACATAAGATAAGCTAAGATAAGATAAGTTTATTGATCCAAATATGCACAATACAATTTAAAAAATATTATGTGTAAATTTACAGCAAATATATAATTAAAGCAATGGTTTAAATATTAACAAATAAGGTTAAAGACATATATACAATATAGATAAATACAAGATAAAAATGTAAGTATAAGAAAAAAATGAATTAATTCTGGGAAGTTATTTCTAGTATAAAAGACGCAACAGAAAATTAGCTGCTACCCTAAGTTAGTGTACAGAATTTCCGGAACATCTGGAAGGCAGGCCTTCAAGGAAAGAGAACGCATTAGATGCAAATTTTTAGAATGTTTAATCTAATACTAGTATTATATATTTTAGAAAAAAAAAATAAAAAAAAAAAATTAAATGCAGGAAAGCTGCCCTCTGCAAGTGAGAATGGCATTGCGAGCAGTTCTCTCAGAGATAGATACATGCACCTTTACAAAACAACATTATTATTATTATTATTATTATTATTATTATTATTATTACTATTATTATTATTACTATTATTAAAATATATAGGTCTCCCTGTAATTAAAGACCACTTTTGAGACCAGGGTTTATATGGTCTCTAACAGCTTTGGTCGCTAATTAGAATAATAAAAATAAAATACATTTGTTCATTTGGGACCACAAGAAAAGTGGTCATTAATTTGAGGTGGTCTTCAATTGGAATGGTCCTTAATTAGAGGGAGACCTGAACTAAGATGTAACATAATAAATAATATAAAAAGCAGTATAGCTTCATCTGCCAAAGTGGTGAAGGACAATCTGTGTGCGCTGAACCATGGAGATCCTTGGGCCCCTGGTACCTCAAAGCAAGCACATTTAAAATAAAGTTTATGCACAATAAATAATTATGACAAATCATCAACAATATTATTTGGGGTTGTAAGGTATTTAACTTGAATTACCAGTACTCTACCACCAAAATTTTTTCTCACAAATAAAAACAACTCTCTAGGCCTCGTAATATGAATATAGAGACTTCATTGGTAAAAGCATTACATTTCATTTATTTAAGAGGGCCCCTGGATTCGCCACTGATTGAAGATGTTCGCTCTGTATTGCTTGCACTAAGAGGGCCTCCGGAATTTGTTGTTTCATGTCAAAATGTATAATAAAACTATATATTTTATCAAAAACATCAGACTATTAACTCTAACTCTAAAATAAAAAAATATATATATATACACACTATACAATTTTTACCATAAAATAAACATTCCTTAAATTTAATTAGCACTTTTAAAATGAGGTTTATGCCCAATAAATAATCATGACAAGCCATCAACAATATTATTTGGGGTAGTAAGGTATTTACAGTACTCTACCACTACAACTGGAGTGGAGTTGAATAACTTTTTCTCACAAACAAAAACAGCTCCCTAGGACTCAGATTGTCACCATTTTCACAAAGTTACACAAACTTCAATTTTGACGGAAACATTTTGAGAAAAAACGCGTTTGAAGACTACTTCACAAATCTGTAAACTTCACTACCAAGATAATGAATTTTTTTATATATTTACATATATTTGAAGATAAAGCATTAAACAATTCAAATGTTCAATTTATTTTTCGTTTCTTAACTTTAATTAAACTGTTAATTAGTGTGAGAAGTTTGTGTCACTTCGTGAAAATTATCAGAATAAATACAGCATATGTGGCAAAGACAAGCCAAACAAGTCACTCGTCGCAAATCCTCTTTCTTAGATAATGGACAAAATATGCTGGAATGTCAAAATTTTTGGAAATCTATTTTATTGCACTAAACTAAACTTTATATGTCTATACATCATGCTATGCTGTTATTATCCCCATTTACAATGTTAAAACAACAATTTTTAACGATTTGGTGATGGTTTCTGCCTAAGAAATGCCCGAAATCATAAACTGTGAAGGCTGATTTCTCAAATATTGTTCTTTAAACAGCATGTTTGAACTCCTGTAACTTCATAACAAAATATCAGATTTAAAAGATTTTTTTAACCCTTCTATAGCTCTCATTATACTGTTTAACCCTGTAATAATAACTGAAAATCGATTTTTGCGACGAGTAACTGGTTTCGGTAGTCTTTGCCTCATATTATATTGTTTACACGTAGAGTGAAGTTTGTGTCACTTTGTGAAAACGGTACGCACTGTACACGCTCCCGACACAAACTTGCACAAACTGTATTTTAGCCTATGTTTAACCACAGTAGTAAAGGGCAAAAACAAGTCTACAAACTCGGCTTATGCTGCTTAAATCAATATGTTTTTACTAATAATTCCACATTTGATGCACATGTACAGTATAGACCTATTCCAAGTTATACTGCAAGAAGGGTACTATTACGGCTAATTAGCATAATTAGCTAATTTAGTTTAGTTGCACTCTTAAAAATTAGATGAAAAGGTAAAGTTTGATGTACATAATCAAAATGTCAAAGAAAACAAAATTTGAAAACATATGATTTTTGAAGGGTTGTGTCTCTTCGTGGTGTCAGTGACGATAGAGACTTCACTGATGAAACATCACATTACTTCACTTATTTAAGAGGGCCACTGAATATCAGCCGACCTTCTAGGATACACTGGAAGGGTCACCCTCTATAAATATGGTTTTTACAACGAACCAAATCAGTTAAAAATTATGTTGAAATATAAGTGTGCCCCTTTCAGCCATTTAGAGTGCTGTAATCCCCCTGTCTCTTATACACATCTAGATGTGTCTGGATCCTCAATAGGTGAAATTCACCCTCTCTGTCCCCCTCTATTTTGTATTCCTAGATTTGCCACTGATTGGAGATGTTCTCTTTGTATTGCTTGCACTGTGAGGGCCTCCTTTAGTCAGAATTTGCTGTCTCATGCCAAAACGTATGATAAAATCTATCTATTTTATTAGAAATCACAGACTATAAAATAACTGAAAATTCAAAAAAATAATACATAGTACCAATATACACACAATACCATTGTACCATTAAATAAACATTATTTAGCGTAATTAAAATGTAAGGCAGCATATACGCTGGTAAGTGGATAGCACTGTCAGCATTAACTGAATATAGAAAAGATTTACCGCAAACCAGCAAAAGAAATACATGATGCAATAAAACTTTTTAAAAAAATTATTTCATTTGGTAATATGTGTGTGAAAGGTTAAAAATTCAGTCCACTATCTTTTATGTTTGCTCATATACGCTGGTAAGCGGATAGCTCTGTCAGCATTAACTGAATATAGAAAAGATTTACCGCAAACCAGCAAAAGAAATACATGATGCAATAAACCTTTAAAAAAAATTATTTCATTTTGTAATATGTGTGTGAAAGGTTAAAAATTCAGTCAACTATATTTTATTATTACTCATTGCAGTGAGGACTTACACAGCAACTTTGCAATGACATATTATTTTGGCTAGCATTTGGCATGAGTACTGTAAAATACCCAATGGGCATAATCTCAAGGAGCCCATCCCAAATTGAAGCCCCCCCTCTTTAGTTTGCAATGGCTTCTTTTTACGATAGTACAGTACAGTGTACATGAACAAAATAAATTAAAAACAGGCTTGGTTTACAGTAGTAGATGATTTAATTCCACTTAATACACTCCAGGAGGCAGATTGATGTTACAGTAGCCCTATTTATTGTTTTGCAGTACTAATTTCCAAAAATTTACAGCATTCATTTTAAAATGAAGCCTCCTCTTTACTTTGACAAAATTAGCCTTGAAAAGAAGCCCATCTCGAAGAAAAGCCCATCTCAAAGAGAAGCGCATCCAAATTTTGCAAAAAAAAAATGAAACCCAGGACTTCTATTCGAGGTTTTAAGGTATGGGCTTCTTAAACGTGTTAGTAGTAGTTACGTGTGTGTGTGTAAGAGGCCAAAGAAAAACTTTTTGCGCCCCTTCTGCCAAATTTTAATTATGCTTTTTTCCCTACAGATTTTTTAACTTTGAATGTTTCATATATAAACTCAATTTGATATTGTAAAGCATTTGTTAATTTTGAAGGGCCCCCACTCGACAATGATTTAATTCAATTTCAAGGTGTCCTGTCTCATATTTGTTTGTGCTTTTTCCTTGCTGTTTCTTTTATTGTACATTTAATGTTTTTGAGACAAATAAATGAAATGAAAATGTACCCCCTGAAAATTTGCCGAGCAGAAAATAAGAAATAATAGTGTTATTTAATAGTTACCACGATTAAGCAAATTTAATTCATCACAAAAAACCATAAACCCATGATTTCATAACTCACCGCATCTTTCATATCTGAGTTGGAAACGATGATGACATTTGGAGGGTCTCCCACGGCCGTAGCTGTTCCACCGATATTTGAAAACAACACCTCCGCTATTAACACATGCTTCGGATCTAGGTTTAAGACTTCACAAAGTCTACAAAAAATAGAAGAAAAGAAGTTCTTTCATCTGTTATTTCAGATTTACATATCAATAAACATACAAAAAAAGCAGTAAAATTTAAAATACTTGCTGCATACTTAACCTAAATGAAAATACTTAAAACACAAATTCATAATTCTATTCATTCACTGTAAAGTGTTTCAACAGTCAAATTGCTGGTATATGAAGTATTGCTTGCTAGCTCTTTTTTTCTGTTATCCTGTCCTAGACCTTGAAATTGATGTGCATTGTTTCAAATCTTACACAACGGTAAAACCTCTAATAGAAGCCTAATGGGCTTAACATAAAGAAGCTCATCTTGAATTGAAGCACCCCCTCTTTAGTTTACAAAATTGGCCTCGAAAAGAAGCCCATGGGTTTCATTTTTTTAAAGATAGTTACAGTCATACACGATATCTGAATTTCAAAGAAACAAAATAAATTAAAAACATCCTTGGTTTACAGTTTAGGTGATTTAATGCCGGTTAATACACTCCATGATACAGACTGAAGCTACAGTAGATCTATTTACTGTTCTATAGTAGTTATTCCAAAAATTTACAGCATTCATTTTGAAAAGAAACTCTCCCTCTTTACTTTGCAAAAGTAGAATCGAAAAGAAGCTCATTCACACTTCGCAAAAAAAAAGGCCAGGTCTTCTATTCGAGGCATTCCGTGGATACATGTCAGTCGCTTACGCAAAATAACCATGAAATATCAGTTGTGTTACCATCTGAGTTGTACGTACCTAATTGTGACTGGCGTGACGAGTAGAATTGTTGTGACGTTGTCAAGGAAAGCTGAGACCACAGCGGTGAAAATACACAGAATAGTGATTAGCGTCCATACATGCCCTTTTGCCATCTTGTAGGACATCAAGGCACAGTATTCAAAAAATCCAGTCTCCGAAAATATTGCAACAATTGTCATCTGTAAAATTAAAAACAAGAATATTTGAAACAGTCACATTTCAAAGATATACAGTATTACAAAGTTTACAAATTCTGCATTTTGTTTCAAAAGAAAGATTAGTCATTTTTATTTACCAATTTAAAATTTATTTATTTCAGTACTTAATGAAAAGAAAGGTTATAGCGAGAAAACAAGAAAGACATTGTCTGTTTTTTCTGGTTACATTTTCAAGGTAGACATGCACAGCAAAATACTACAGCGATAACCAAGAAAAAGAGAAAAAAAATGGAAGACTAAAGAGAAGGTGCAGTTCCATATTGTAAAGTGTTTTTAATTGCGCGGATGATACCTAAAATATCAGCTCAAATCAATAGGAAAATAGGTGCGCAGAAATGCAATTACTGGATTATTACATTGTTTATATATTCTGATTACGT